TTTATTGCCGTTTTGTAAGTCTTATAATCACGCTATAAGACGCTAATAATCATTTGACTAAAATTATTTTCTTTGTTATTGAAAATTGCAATTGAAAAAGTGTCCACTTAATCCCGATTTCCCCTACAATTTTTAAAAACTTTGTTAAAAACCTTACACATATTTTTTTCTAAAAATCATTATTCAAAACTATAACAGTCAGCCTTAGTCTCTTCTAAATTTATGCAGAGTGTTCCTTAAGTACATTGCTATCAAGGAGATAATTCTTTGATTTAATTTGAGTAAAAAAATTTATGTAAACAATACAATGAATGTTTGATGACATGGTGCATTGAGGATATTGTCACGAGTAATTGCTAATTGCACAAGTAACAATTACGCCACGAACGTGCAAGAAATATAAAAATTAAATAAATGATTGTCAAAACCAATTTATTTAATAATATACTCAAAGTTACTTTTAAATAATTAATATAAAAGAAGATCCTGAACGAATATAAATTGCAAACTTAAGAAATGCGGACTCAGAAGAACGGAACCTGTCCTCATCCGATACACGGAAAGCTCAAGGATGAACCGAAAAATATAGAATATAAGCGGACGCGGTTGTCGATCAGAAATTTGAAAGAAACTTGTCGCGTCTTTGCCCGTCGTTTAAACGAACAGTTGTAACAGTGTCTACCGCGTGGATAGTGCTAAGTGGAATTGTAATAAAATAATCACTGTTATGTGTAAAGTTAAATATATTCTATTTAAAAGATTATAAGGCTGTCTAATCTCATCTTGAAGTCCTTTGTGAATCCGCGAACCGTGCCGTGAAACCGGCACAACAATATTTTTCTGCATAAATACGCCTTGCTTTACGTGAATTACCACATACATCGTACATAAAATGATAAATACATAAAGTGATAAAATCCCAAAAACAAAAAGAAATAGAGTTCAGTTCTAATGTTACTGTTGATCAGTTTACTACACACGTTTTCAACAATTCATTGATCTATTTTTTCAGAAAAACTGAAGCCTGTTTTTATTTTTCAGTTTTGGATTAATTTAAGATATATTTCTTTCGTTTAAGTAGACGGGTTATTAAATACTACACATTTAAAAAAAAGAAGTTTCTTTTAAAGCACTTTGTGTTTCGGAAATTAAATCGTTTAGAACATATGTTTATATGAACCTTTTTTATTTAAAACAAACCAAAAAAATTGTTAAATAAAGTTATTAATAAAGTTATTAATAAAGTTATTAAAAAATTAGTTATTAAAATTATTAATAAATTTGAAGTAAACTAATTTAAAATATATTCCTTAATATATAAACTTGATTGCGCTAATTTTTGAAAAATTTCAAGCTGACTCAAATTGATATTAATATTGATAAAAATTATATAAATAAAAAACACATGTAATATAATATTATAAAAGCTTTTCATTAGTATGCAAAAGATTATGATCACATAATGATGGATACAAGTACATATTATTTATTTATTTACGTATTTCTGCTACTGCATATGCAGTACAAGTGCAAAAGCAAAAATTGTGAGAAACATTATCTGAACCAAAAAATATTTTCTTAAATTTGCTATTGTCAAAGAACAGATATTTTATGATCTTAAGAATCAAACATTTCTCAGACAGAACAACAAATTACAGTAACATTAAAATAATATTAAAATAAACAATAACATTAAAATAAATCATAAATGATATTTTGGAATTATTTTAATATTATTTCAATATTATAATGACTTGTTCTGCTTGGACAAAAAAAAACAGATATATTAATTGTAAATTAAAAAAACGTCACGATCTTAACGAATGTCTTTCAAACATATACTAAAACTGATTTATAGGATTTAGATAAGCTTATATATATAGCTTATATATACATTTGTATATCTTCTATTTGCATACATTAGCAACCGGTCTTTATTTTCGTCTTATAATACGACTATAAAAATTTTTTTTAAATTTTTTACATAATTGTATTAAATTAAAATACAAGCATTTATCAAGAATAGCTCACTAACATAATTTTTATAATATAAATACTCTTCCTCTGTAATACTATTTTTTAAAGAAAGTAAAATTGCAATAAAAATCAACAAATAATATAATTACGAGTATAAGCGCGTGAACGTAATGATCAACTTTTTGCTTATGATATTAAAACAACTCAATAACCTTGACATTTTGCAAAGAATGTCCAATTAAAAGGAAAGGCTCCAGATATCTTTCCCTGATTTTAATGAAACTTGGTGGATTTATAGAGAAGATAATGATTTTTGATATATATTTTTGGTAATATATTTTTTTTATCAGCAACCAAAAAAAAGTGTTTAAAAAAGTAAAAAAAATAAGAAAAGTGTTTAAGAAGTAAAATTAATCCTAAAAAATTGATCATATTTTTTTACTATAACTTCAGAATGAAACATAATAGCGTAATTTCGTAAATGTATAAAATATTCTAAATATTTCAAAAATCGACGTTGCACGCTAAATTGCGCATTATTCTCGAAAACAAGTTTTTCCTCGGCGCAGCATTCGCCGCTCGATTCGCCGGGATCGCATTGTTTGCGCATAACTTCAAGAGTAACCAAAT